GCGTTGTTCTTCCGCCCCCAGCCACTTCGGTAGCTCCAAATGCTGATCTCTGCCTCCTCAGTTTAGAGAGACCTCTGGTCTCTGCTTGAGCTCCAGCCTCCTGCACTGGGATTAGGAAATCATCCCCCGGCAGACAGCCGGGATGATCGTGGCCCTCCTCACAAGCTTTTCTTCTCTCAGGGATTCCATTCTCGCCTTTCCGGTTGGCCAGTGCTTGAAAACAGTGGCCTCTTAGGTTTTCTCCAGTTTTGTCATTGTTTACAGTAGGTGGGCTGCCATGACCAGAAACAGAATTCCTGAATTATTGAGAACATATGTTGCTGTAGCACTCTGGGTGCTGCGTGAATATATGAATGAAATATATAGGTCTCTGCGTAAACAAAAAGTACAGTTAGTGAGGTCCACATGAGAAACAGAATATTAGATCGATCCTTTTTACCTTACTCCTTCCTTTTTTGTACCCTTGAAAAAAATTGCTTTCTCTTTTTGTTTGTTTTATTTTTAAATGATGTTATGATATAGGGTGCATTGTTTGGGTGAAGTGGTGGGGGTGAAGACGTCGCTCTTACACCTCAAGGAAAAAGCAGCCATCAAAAGCTAGAGTGTTGTACTGATCTCTGATTAAGCCAGACACCCAAGTGATTGATTGTTGTGGTTCATGTTATGGAGAAATGATGACCTCTAGCTCCTTCATAATATTTAAAGATAGACCCAATAATCTAATATTAGGATTACATGCAAGAAAGCTAGCTAGAAATAGTGCATGCTTGTTTAAAAATATCTTAATATTAACTTTGCCATTGAAAAGTTCTCTTTTCACCGTCTTAGTTGCTGTCTTCTGAATTTTGATACCACTTGCCATAAAAGAGTGATTACTTGCCTCAAGTCTGTAGGAATGTTGTTGAGGTAGTCAGTATTTATTCTAAACCTTCTTTCAGTCCAGGGTTGAAAATTTCAGTGTGACAGGTTTTTCCTAAATTCCCAACTGTCAACGTGGCATTCAAAAGAGGCCACTTAGAAATTTCATTGCACCTTTTGGGGAAGAGTTCTCTTCAACCTCATATTTATTTTGGAAGCATCTGATCATTTCAGCCTTAGCCTTCATTCCTAGGGCATCAAGGTCTTTGTTCAGCCTTATTTTTTGGTCTGCAGACACATGGATGCAGACATTGGAGTGTTTTGCAGAAGAGCTGTTTACCCGGAAACCCACAGTGAAAACGCATAATGTGGTGCGTTTCATTCTTCTACTTGGTCTGGCCTTTTGAAGACCAAGAGAGAACGTTGTAAAAATGGTCAGGGTGATGATGACAGTTTAGATGTGGTAGTAGTGGTTTGCTCTGTGGCTTCAAGTTTACCATCTTTCAAAATAGATTAGTGTGTCCATTGATTTCAGAAGATGCACGGTTGCCTCCGAGGCTTCTCAGGCAGGGCGTGTGAATTTGTCCTTTCTGAAAGTGCGTCCCTCTCATCCGCATAGCATCACTGTCACTCCCCCTCCAGTGTCCCTGTGAGAGGCTCTGTGAAGACCTGGTTCTCCCAGGGACAACTCCATCCCAGAAGCACATCACCTAAAAGGACTTGCCAAGCCAGACGATGCCCGTGGAGCTGGGGCAGGCTCCAGTCCTGCCGCCGCCAAGCCCTTGGGCCAAGCCCAAGGAGTCCGCGTTCTCTGGACCAGATGACACCCCTCGAGGGGAGCCGTCCAGCCCTGAGACTGCACGCCAGCTTTTCAGGCAGTTTCCTTACCAGGTGATGTCCGGGCCCCACGAAACCCTGAGACAACTTCGGAAGCTCTGTTCCCAGTGGCTGCAGCCAGAGGTTCACACCAAGGAGCAGATCCTAGAGATCCTGACGTTGGAGCAGTTCCTGACCATCCTGCCCGGGGAGATCCAGATGTGGGTGCGGAAGCAGTGTCCAGGCAGCGGGGAGGAAGCAGTGACCCTTGTGGAGAGCTTGAGGGGGGACCCCCAGAAGCTGTGGCAGTGGGTGAGCAGAGAGTTTTGTGATCTCTGACTGAAGCACAGGGCTCCTCTAGGGTCTTAGCAGGGGTGTTGTCTGTTTTTCTGGCACCAAATATGTAGGCTTTTCCACACCAACAACCAATTCGCTGACACTGTCTGGCTTGGCTCAGACCCCAGAGGATAAGGGCTAGTCCCATAAGACTGACCCCATTTCAGACCCCATCACAAGCTGCAGGGGCCACCCGTACTTATGACCCACTGGCTACAAATTTGAAGGTTCCCACAACCCCCTCCTCGGGTTTGATCGTTTGCTAGAGTGACTCATAGATCTCAAGGAAACACTTTACTCATATTTTCTGGTTTGTTATAAAGGATATGTTTGAGAAACAGCCAAATGGAGGAGATGGGGGTGGCACAGGGCATCTGCGCCCTCATCTGGGCACACCATTCTCCTGGCACTTGTATATATTCACCAGCTCAGAAGCTCCCTGAACCCCACAGGTTAGGAGTTATTATGGAGGTTTCATTACTTAGGCATGATTGCTTCATCATTGGCCATTGGTGATTGAGAATCTCCAGCCCCTTTCCCCGGAGGTTGAGGGGTGGCGCTGGAAGTTCCAACCCTCTGATCACCTAATTAGTTCCTCTGGGGACTGGCCTCCATCCTGAACCCGTCTAGGGGCCACCAAGAGTCACCTCGTCAGCATCAGCTCAGGGATGGTTGAAAGGGGCTCCTTCTGAATAGGAGGAGTTGCTCCTGGCACTCCTGTCCTTCAGGAAATTCCAGGGGTTTTAGGAGCGCTTGCCAGGAACCTGGGACAAAGCCCAGTTGCACATTTCTTGTTATACTATCTCAGTGTGTCCCCACGCCTCACCTGATTCTAAGACTCCCTGAGATTCTCCACACTTTTTAGCCATTAGGGATTGAAGCTAAATCTCCCATCCCATTCCATCTTTAGAATGTTTGAGAAGCTGTTCCAAAGACGCCTGCCTTTTAATTGGTGGAGACTGTCCAGTAGAAACAACGTCAGTGGCCTGTCGGAAGGGCGCCCAGGCCATGGTTTCTGGCCTCTCTCAGGATGTTTCCCTCCCTGGTTCCCGCTGGACCAGAAGTAAATGCTGGCTTTTTTCTTTCCCTGCCCCATGTCCCTAAGGACTGCCTTATGATGCGTTCTAGAAGGTTAGCTTTGTATCTTTCAGAAATCCTTACTCTGGATCTTTCAGTAATTAGTACCATGTGGTCTCTAGATCAGCATCCAAGTTCTGGGACAGGAAGTCTTATCACAGAAGGCGGAGCCTGAAAGCTGCCCACTGCGGGAAGCGGAGGCCCATGTTGAAGTGCCTCAGGAGCTGGGGCTTCAGAACTCAGCCTGCCGGTCTGGGGAGCCACTGAGCCACATCGTGAAAGAGGAGTCCGACTCGGAACAAGGACTAGGTGAGGGGCAGGTGGTGTGTGTGGTGCCGTCTTGGAGAAATTGCGGGATTGTGGTCAGTAGGCCTAAGAGTGAATTGAAATGATGTGCCGCTCAGACTGGGGTGTCTCTGGGAAGTTCGGAAGCAGGGTAGACATACAGGAATCACTCTGATTTGGGGATTCAAAGTCTGCAATTTAAACCACTTATGACAGGGCCAGGCCTTTCGGATTTGGGTTCTGGGGAGGGAGGTGGGAGGAGACACGGGTGAGGCAGCTGGGAAGGTAGGGGGAGTTGGAGTGGGTTAGGGAGGTAAGCACAAGTCTGAGATCACAGATGGCGGAACAGGCGTTGGTTCTAATGTGTGGAGGTTTGCACCTGTGCCCTGTGGCTAGTGGGTGACAGGAAATCGGGATTCTTTAATCTTCCTGTCTCCGCCTTCAGCCCTGGCTGCCTCCCCACTTCCTGCCCGACCCGAGGAAAGGCTCATCAGAGACCAAGACTTTGGAGCCTCCCTTCTCCACACAGCACCTCAGGTGAGCGGGGTTCCCCTGCTTCTCGTACCCCAGAACCTCGCTCCGAGGGTCTGTCAACAGTCCGTGGATTGAAAAGGGAAGCGTTCTCAGAATCGGAGGAGAGAGGAAGGCCTAGCAAGGATGACAGCCATACATGTGGAATGAAACTCGAGTTTCAATATTTCTTTGAAGGCAGAATGTTTCCTAATTGTCATCTTCAATAATAGAATCTGGGCCCTCGAAGAATTTGCTGTGATGAAGCAATCTTGTCTCCCTTTTTTATTACCTTTGGGTTATGCTGAGAAAAGACTGTTATTTCATTTCCTAGTCTAGGCCTCCACGTTGGGGTCACTTTGTGATCTCGAATGTTACATCTAACGTGGGGACAGGTTATCCTCTCCCCCCACTCACTTGTGGAGGTGTGACTGACAAACTGTAGAGTGCACTTATTTAAAGTGTACAATTTGATAAGTTCTTGGACATGGTATATACAGATGTGAAGCCATAACTGCAGTCAAGATAGTAAACATATGTCACCCCCAAAGGTTTCCTTTTGTAATATCCCTCCCTGCTGCTCTTCTACTCTCCCCCCAGTCCTGAGGCAACTACTGGTCTGCTTTCTGTCACCATACAGTAGTTTGCATTTTCTGGAATTTTACACAAAATGGAACCATGCCACGTGTACTTCTTTGTTCTTCATGCCACATGTCTTTGTTCTTCGGCATATAACGTATTTTTCTTGCTTGCTTTTAATAGTTTCTCTCTGATTTAAAAAATTTTGACCATGATGAGCCTTGGAGTCATTTTCTTCATGTTCCTTGTTCTTGGGGTTCACTGAAATTCTTGGATCCGCTGGATTATAGCTTTCATCAGATTTGGAAAAATTCTGGCCGTTATGTCAACTGCTTTTTCTGTCTCCCTGCCTTCTCTGCTTCTTTGGGCACTGTGAGAATAGCACGCACGTGGGACATGTATGATCTTAACATGTGTATGTACACATTAGATCTCTTCAAGTTGACCCACAGCTGACTGATGCTCTGTTCTCTCTCTCTTTTTAATCTCTGTGTTTTCTTTTGTGTAGTTTCTAGTTTTATGTCTTCAAGCTTATTAATCTTTTCTTCTGCAGTGTTTTATCTGCTTTTAATCCCATCCAGTGTATTTTGCATCTCAGATGTTTTTCATCTCTAGAAGTTTGAATTTGGGCTTTATCATATCTTTCATGTCTGTACTTAATGTGTTCAATCTTTCCTCCAACTCCTTGAACATATGGAATATGTTTATAATATCTGTATTAATGTCCTTGTCTGCTAATTTATCACCTGTGTCAGTTCTGAGTCAGTTTTGATGGATGGTTTGATCTCCTCATTATGAGATGTTTTTCCCTACTTCCTTGTATGCCCAGTAATCTTTGATTGCATGTCAGGCATGGTGAATTTTACATTGTTGGGGGCTGCATATTTTTGCATTCCTATAAATGTTGTTGAGCTCTGCTCTGGGATGCAGTTAAGTTACTTGGATACAGTTTGTTACATGGCACCAGTGAAGCCTTTAGTCTAGGGCTAATCTTCCTCCTGTACTGAGGTGATACTATACCTTATGCTTCTTGATGGGCAACGTTTTCCACTCTGGCTGCTGGAAATATGAAGTGTTTCCAGCACTTTGTGAGCTCTGGGGACTGTGCCTTCTGATTCTTTGTTGGGTGGCAGTGGGGGGGGGGGTCTTTCCTTGACTTACTGGGGACTCTCTGCAGATCTCCAGAGCTCTCTCTGTGTGCAGCTCACCTGGTCTGGTCTTCTGCCCTGCTGATAACTCTGTAACCCTCTTGGCCTCCCCAGACCCTGAGCTCCTCCTGCTGCTCTGGATGCCCTCTTCAGGTGGTAAGTTTGGGCAACTGTAGGGCACACAGGGATCTCTGTTCTGCTCTTCCTCAAGTATATCGTCTGCAAATCATTGTTTCATATATCTTGTCCCCGTTTTTGGTTGTTTCAGCAGGGAGGTAAATCCATTCCCTGTTACTCCATCTTGGCTGTAAACAGAAGTCTCAAGAACAGGTTTATCTTGATTATGTGGTGAACATAATTATTTGATAAAAATCAACGTTTTCTGAAGAACCTAGGAGCAGGACAGGAATAAAGACGCAGACGTAGAGAATGGACTTGAGGACACGGAAAGGGGGAAGGGTAAGCTGTGACAAAGCGAGAGAGTGGCATGGACATATATACACTACCAAACGTAAGGTAGATAGCTAGTGGGAAGCAGCCGCATAGCACAGGGAGATCAGCTCGGTGCTTTGTGACCGCCTGGAGGGGTGGGATAGGGAGGGTGGGAGGGAGGGAGACGCAAGAGGGAAGAGATATGGGAACATATCTCTATGTATATGTATAACTGATTCACTTTGTTATAAAGCAGAAACTAACACACCATTGTAAAGCAATTATACTCCAATAAAGATGTAAAAAAAAAAAACAAAAATAGATAGCTAGTGGGAAGCAGCCGCATAACACAGGGAGATCAGCTCGGTGCTTTGTGACCACCTAGAGGGGTGGGATAGGGAGGGTGGGAGGGAGACACAAGAGGGAGGGGATATGGGGATATGTGTATATGTAGAGCTGATTCACTTTGTTATACAGCAGAAACTAACACACCATTGTAAAGCAATTATACTCCAATAAAGATGTAAAAAATAAATAAATAAAAGATAGCTAGTGGGAAGCAGCCACATAGCACAGGGAGATCAGCTTGGTGCTGTGTGACTACCTAGAGGGGTGGGATAGGGAGGGTGGGAGGGAGATGCAAGAGGGAGGAGATATGGGGATATGTGTATATGTATAGCTGATCCGCTTTGTTATAAAGCAGAAACTAACACAGCATTGTAAAGCAATTATACTCCAATAAAGATGTTAAAAAAAATCAACTTTTTCAGGCACCTGTAGACCTTAATCAGAACATTGTTTCAAACCTTTGGGGAGCTCTTCTTGGGACTTTCCTCTTGGGGTACTTGAGAGTGAAGGTGAGGACACAGGGAAGCCACTGTAGATGTGTCTGAGCCTCAGCTTTCCAGGCTCAAAAGATTTAGAAACCAGAGTCCGAGCTTTGCAGTTTACCCCTTGCAGAGGGTGGGGAGGGGGCAGGGAAGGGATACAGCTTTTTAGTGACTCAAGGGTGCCCATCTTCCTGCTTTTAAGTACACAGAAACCAAACTGTTAGGCAGGAGGCTGCTTGGTGAAAAAGATTTGGGTATTCTGCCAAGTATTTCAGGTCAACTTGGAGGATTATTATTGCTTCTATAGTAAATACAGAGTATCCCTATGAAAGGCATATACAATTTATTAACATTTTAGCGGAGTTAAACATTAGCTCTACGTTACATGAGGACATTAACCATGACTTGTTCTGGGTAGCTTGAAGTCAAAGTATTCCAAATGCTCACCAGCAGCACCATATAAATGTATGTATATAAATATATGTAATATATAAATTACCTATATATAGCCGATAACTGATTAACAGCCACTCACCCCAAACAAACAAAAATCATCCCTACCCGATCCCAATATCCCTCCCCCAAACTAACAACTATTTGCATCAGAAGGACCTCGATGTTTAATGGAGTCTTTTGTAACTAACTGAAGGGAATGTTTAAATACAGTATAAAGAATCATGTTCTCTAATCTGTTCCCTAAATTAGGAACCTCGAGAACAATGGCAGGGTATGAGGTCCACAGTGGTAGATGCCGTGATTGAGTCAGAGACAGTCTCACAGACTTGGGGTTGCACTGGCGCCGGTTCCTGTGTCTTCAAACCTCGGGAAGGGAACACAGTACAGATGCCTGTGTGCCAGTCAGTTGTGGCAGTGCCCCACAAACCCACAAGATGGTGCTGTTTCCACATGAAATTGAGATTATTTCCCCATCAAATCTCATACTTCCATCCTTCCAGAATAGGAATTTGGACTTTTTTCTCCTCTTATAAAAATAACAGAAAATGAAGATGGCTGCAGTTGGTGTCTTGCCTCTTAAGTAAGGGGCTTCATATGCATCCCTAGCTCCTGGGCAGTTCCTTGAGTAAATTTGTGGCTTTAATCTGGAGGCACGCCTTCCAGAGACTCCTGAAGCCTCTTTCCTGGGCTTTGAAAGGGCTGATGGTGGCCCTTGGGGGTTTTGGTGGCTGTATTCCTTTCTGCCTTGTACTGTGCTGGGTGGCTACTCTTTTGGTGCCCGTGGACGAGGCCTGTATCTGGCGAGCCAGGCCTCCAGGCAGATATTACCGCGCTTGGCAGCCCATCCTTTTCTCTGCCAGCGCCGACGTGAGGGTCTGTGTATTTTGACCAGGAAGACCGAGGACTCCTGTATTCAGCAGTGTTTGCTCAAGCTGGTTATTTCCAGTAGGCTGTTAAGGTAGCTTCCTTCACAGAAGATTAACAAAGTAAGTTGCTAAAAATTCCTCCTTTAAATTTTTAAAAATTAAAATCTATATTTAAAATGTGGTTATACTTAATAAACATATAGAGTTCACTTTTCCACTTTTCACCTTTTCACTTTTTTCACCCTGAGAAATTTAATTCCTCCTTTTCTTTTCTTTTTTTTAAGCTTAGTGTCTGCTAGTTAAAGAATTTTTGGCGTCTCCACTCTCTTTCAGCCATTTCCAGTCCCCTTAATGTACTGGGGGCAGAGTTAATGTAGAATGGGGAATGGCCTCCCCGGGTAGTGGGCTGGGTGTGATGGAGGGTGACTTCTCTTCTCATTCTTCCTCTCCTCACTGCTGCCGCCTGTGGCCTGGCTGGCCGTTCATGGCGATAATAGATGGTTATCCACTTTGGGGTTTCCGAGAGTGTGCAGGATCCCTGAATTCTCCCTGTGAACCTTGGGAGACCGATAACCTGTAGGCTGCGTGTGGTAGTGATAGTGAGAATATAGACCGCCTACCAAGCACTTGTTTGCTAAGGGCTTTGTTTCACCCAGACAACTTCTACTGAGTGCCTGCTCTAGCCTGGGCATGGTCTTGGGAACTGAGAGAGAACAGTGGAGGATCCTTTTCTCATGGTGCGAATGTGCTACAGAGGCAATGTTCATTAAATACATTCGTGAGTGTGTGTGTGTGTGTGTGTGTGTGTGTGTGTGTGTATACATATATATAAATATTTAATAAACTGTGATGAATGCTGTGAATGAAAAGTAGTGGGTGCTTTGAAAGTAGCTCACACTTGGTTACTTCTGTTAAACCTCCAGACAGTGTTTTGAGTCTAGTACAATCATTAGGTGAGGACTGAGGCCCAGAAAAGTTTAGTAACTTCCTTAAGATCACGCAGCTGGAAATGGCAGACCTGGGACGTGAATCCCAGTGTGTCTGACACGAGAGACTGTGCTGTTCATCACTCTGCTGTACAAACTGAGTGTCTAACAGTCAGCCTCCTGGTGGAGAGACTGCTATTTGATTCACAAAAGTTGACCCCAGCTCCATGGCCTTCCCAGCATTGAGTCTCCAGGCTCAGTTCCATAGGATGAGAAGGGCATGTTTTGGGCGTACTCAAGGGACAGCTTGCTCTAGGGAACCCCTCCATTTCCCACTCACTGGAGGAAAACTGATCTGCTGTTGGACCTAAACTCAGAACCGTCGGGAGATTCGAAGTGTGTGTGGCTGCGGCATTTCTGCTCCGAGGCCACAGTCTGTCTCACAGTGAGACTCACAACTCGCCTGATGCCATTCTTTACCCTTCACACCCCTTCACTGATTTGCACTTGCTTTTCCAACAAATACATTTAAAAATTTCTTTCCTTTCCCTCTTGAATTTCCAAACTTTAATGAAATATGGGGAATATCGGGCCCCTGCTGCTCAAAGACCTCTCTGATAAGCACTGAGAGAGTTAAGCAAAAGGAAAGTGGAGAAAGGGCTCCTGCCTTCTCTTTCTTCTCCACTCGCAAAAACAGGCAACTTAAAGGAAAATACGGAACTTAAAACCTAAATGTTTTCTAACCACGGCAAGAAACACTGAGGCAGGCCCTGTCAATTTCCCGTTGAAGCACCTCCCATGCTTTCTCAGACCATCTGATGGCCAGGATCCTGAGGCCCATTCCTTTCTTCTCAGCCTCCCACAGGCAGGGAAGGAGGGTTCAGAAGCCTTCCCTGGACTCACAGCATTGTGTTTTTCTCTAGGAGCAGTGGAGGCACCTGGATTCCACTCAGAAGGAGCAATACTGGGATCTCATGCTGGAGACTTACGGGAAAATGGTCTCAGGAGGTACGGGCATGGGTCAACCCGATGGAAGGAGACATCTGTGTGCTTTAGAGACGGCCGCACTGCTTGATGTTCTCTGGGTGAAGGAAATCATTAGAGACATGGCTGGGAACTGGGGAGCTGGAGGTGGTTGAGTTATAGTGACAGCTCCCTGTATTGAACGTGTTCTGTGCGCCTGGCACTGTGTGTTGCTCCTCACGGACAGTAACTCCTCTCATCTGTGAAACGGGTGATGGAATTCCCATTTTAAGCTGATGAAAGTGAGCATCAGATCAAGTCATTTGCTCACTGTTACATAGCTCGTAGGTGCTGAGTTATGACGGGGCTCAGTGGTGGCCGACCACGCATGGTCTTTTCTACTAACCACAGTCCCAGCCAACCATGCGTGGGGTCCCAGTCACGACCCTCGCACCAGCCTGCCAGGTGGTCTGACTCCTCCCTCCCAGAATCTTCTTTTTGTGGCCTTCACCATATATCCTGGGTTTCTCGTGAGTACTGGTGTCTTAGACGCTCCGCACATCCTCAGTGGTCTCCAGAGCTTCCCTAGTTCCCTTTGCACTCAGGGCCCTCCTTCGAGCAACACGGCTTGGTCCCCAGTGCTCCCCATTCATCCAGGCCCACAGATTATCTCTCTCTGTACCAGGCATTTCCAATCCCAAGCATGACCTGACTGATCCAGCTGGGTTTGGGGCAGAGCTGACAGGACCACACCTACACATCAGCGAGAAGATCCCAAGACCCACCTGCACAGGTGAGTGATCCTCTACTGGTCCAGAGCCATTTCTGACCTCCAGTCATTATATTGGAGGCGGTGGGGCAATATCGGTACTTGGTTTCTATTACATTGGTTCTAACCGGCTGTGATCTGGTCAGTCCAGTTTGAGTACCGAGGTGGGTGTCGTCTCTGACTATTGGGCTGTTGACACATATTTAATCATGGAAGAAAGACCCCGCATCCAATCTGTTGCCTCACTCTTGCCTGTTGTGACAGCTTTCTTTCTTAGAGAGAATTAGGGTTAGTACAGTTGAGACCAAAACAGATAAGGGTTGAATTCTATTATTAAAAAAGATTATCTAACAGGCCACTATTATCTTTCCTAACAAGAAGGTTCAAAGTAACTAGACTTTTCTTACTCTGGTTATGGTGAATGGTAACTGACCCACCCTCAACAAAATAAACAAGACAAACAGAAAAATATGGTCTAGCTAATCTCCATGCATCTAAGTCTCATTAAACAGCAGCAACCTCAAATACTTCACATAAATCACATTATTTTAAGACTCGTACGAAGAACTATGAACTTGTTCTGCTGTAAAACAGCAATTACCCTTTGCCTTCTACATTCTTCTAAAAACATTGCAGCTATGTAAAATCAACTGTCAAACATTCCTGCACACACACTCTCTCTCTCTCTCTCTCAAATCTACAAAAGATCCCAGAACCATGGAGGAATAAAAGGACCAAGGATGGGAACCGTATGACAGGCCATTCTTTCTCCCCAGTAGGACCTGATTAATTGTTTCCTTCGCTAATGTATCAATACCACAGAGAGAGCAAGCATCACATGAGACATACGGTTTTAATTTTAAGCAACGTATTTATCATAATACTACTACACAAGGATTCCTTTGGAGCAGTATTTTTAAAACTGTATTTTGTGACCAGTTAGCAGGTTGTGAAAACATTTTATAGGGCTGCAACCAGCATTTTAAAAAATGAAATGATAATACCGAATAGAAAATATCAGAATGCAAATAGGAAATACCAGATGTCGGGGTAGGTAGTGTTTCAGGATATTTTTATTCTATATATGTGCGTCTGTACTATCTTTCGATATAAAAGTATTTCTTATCGTGGGTAGCAGACAAAAAAAAAAGTTTGAAAATGCTGCTTTAGAGGTTGTTGCAGTAGGATTTTTGTTTTAATAGACTTTATATTTTAGAGCAGTTTCAGGTTCACAGCAAAATTGAGAGGAAGGTACAGGGATTGCCCCTGCACTCCCGTGCGGTAGGATTTTATTTGTGATACCTAGCTCACTCTATCTCCATATGGCAACATTCTATTTTTTTTCTTTCCCATCATCTCACCTGCTGACATGGTACCATTCCATTGTAGGTTCTTGAGAGAGGATTTGTGGGGAGAGAGGCTGAGGAAGCAGCCGCGTGCAGGACAGCCCGGGAGGGTCCCCTTGGAGGAGGGGAACCCTGTGGGCAGCCGACGCAGGAGTCCAGGTGTGCAGGGACGAGACAGTGATACCAAGACAGGAAAGGACTAGTCCGGTCTCAAAGGTACAAGAGTGAGCAGTCTGCCAAATCTGGACTCAGAGCAGGGGGCGATGTCCCAGGAGAGGGTAGATACGCTATTTTGTTTGACCGTATGGAAGAACAGCTCACTGTTAAAGGTCAGCAGGTGAGTAAGCCTCAAAAACCCTTATACTCATATCTCTAATCAAATTCACAAAGGATTAAAATTATATATATATATATATGTATATACGTATATATATATATGTATATATATATATGTATATATATATATATATATATATATATATATATATATATACATATATATATATATATACAGTTGACCCTTGTATAGCAAAGGTTTGAACTGTGCAGGAACACTTATGCTCAGATTTTTTTCAATAAATTTGTACACGATCCACATTTGGTTGAATCCACTAATGCAGAACCTGGATACTGAGGGCTGACTATAAAGTTACACTCGGAATTTGACTGCACCAGGGTGGGTGCCCCAAACCCCTCGTTGTTCAAGGGTCAACTATATTTGGAAAAATGATTCTTAAGTAGTTATCAGGAAAAATACTGCAAGAACAGTAAAAAGGTTTGAAAGAAGAATGTTTCATCAATGTTGGGTCTGTAAATATTAAGAGTATATCATTTTAAAAGGGTAAACTCATTACCACAGTGGGATACTGATATAACAATAGACGCACAGGCCAGTGGAACAGAAGACAGAGCCTGGGAACAGAGGCTGGTCTATAAAGGACTTTAATATGTGATGAAGGAAGAAGCAGAACAAATCCATGGGATGAGCAAAATAAGGAGAAAAGACACTGGGAAGAGGAATCAGCTTAAATTTTATGTATGTCATATACCAAAATAAGTTGGAAACAGATGAAAAAGACATAAAATATGAAAATAAAATAATAATAGAGAAGAAAATGGGTAAATGTTTGACTCACGTCAAGCTGGGGAAGCTTTTTATAAGTATAAAAGCAACGGAAAAGAATCATTAAAAGATTAATAGATTTGACTGTATTTAAAAAGAAAGAGACTACAACTCCTATACATAAAAATAACCCCAAACAAAATTAAAGTAATAACTAAATGGTGAAAAACTCTTTTCACGAACATGACAGATAAGTGACTATTTTTCTTAATATAGAAGGAGTTAATGAAAGCTGATAAGAAAAAAAGTGACTTTCCCAGTAAAAAAAGAAAAGTGGACAGCAGTCTTGGAGTATGAAAAATAACTCATAAGTGTGAAAAAACTGATCCTTTAATAACTAAAGAATTAAAATTTATACCAATGAGAAGCCATTTTTCACCAGCCTTAATGGCAGATACTTGAGACACAGTCCGTGCTTAGGTATTGAACACTCGCCTCCTCTCTGCCCAGCCTCTCAGACCCGAGGATGGCAGAGTCGCAGAAATCGACTTGCCAGTAGGTGTCAACAGCCTTAATACCATTCATGCCCATTGACACAGTAATTCTACTTTGAGGAACCTCCTTTAAGATAGTGATCAGAAATGTGGGCAGAATTTATGAAGAAAAAGGCTTATCACATCATTATTTATAGTAGCAAAATATAACAAACAACTTAGATTCCCATAGTAGGAGAACTCTTAAATAAATTATGTTTCCTCTTATGTGTTTATTATGACATCTCCACAGTGGGCCATTATTCATCTCTTTAAAATGATATTTATAAAGGCTTCTTTAAAGATAAAAGCAAGTACCTTTGCCATCTGAGAGGAACATGTTATAAGGCTCTGAATTACCAAGTTCAGGTCTGGTTCTCTAGCAGATTCTGGTCTCTAGCTGATAATTTGAAAGACACTGATATAGGAAAGAGAAAGGCAAGCAGCTTCTTTAGATCTACAGGAATAAAGTAATTTATAAAAGTTGAAGATAAATTCCACCACCAAAATAAAAATCTTTACTACACGCATCATTAAGTAGTAATAAGCAAAAACCCAAGTTATGATGAGGAAAAACAAAATTTAACTGCTACGTGACATAATGAAGCACAAGTGAATGCTGGACTCAAGCGCAGACCGAGGGGTTCGCTTTTACACAGCAGTCTCACTGTGCATCACAACCACAGTAAAATGACAGATGGTTGCATTTCACGAATTTTGGGGTGACTTGTGAAAGGGAGAATCCATGTGGAATTGATAAGTACCACCATCTACAATTTAAAGGCTACAAAGCCAGAAATAGAACTGTTTATACAGTATGATATCGGTTGTGTCAGAAAAAAGCACATACATACATATGTACATACATACATACATACATACATATGTATAAATTAGATAAAGACTGGAAGGAAATGTATACTCATAGTTGTTGCCTCTGGGTGGTATAATTGAGGTTGATTTGGTTTTCTTGTGTATGCTTTTCAAATTGTTTTTAGTGATCATATTTATCTTTTATATATAATTAGATAAAAACCAATACATTTTTAGAGTAGTACTCTCATATACTAGACTTGTTTTTCCTGGGCTTAAGAAACTTGCTGCTTCTTTGTGGGGGTGGCCACTTTGGCCTCTGGGAGCCATCCTCTGCTGTCACTTGTTCTCCTTGGTTCCAGAGCTGAGTCACAGCCTGGACACACGCGAAGTGAGTGCCAGGTGCTCAGGCTGGACAGTGTTTTTCTTCACTCACCGATGCCCTCTTGGGAAAAAGAATTAATGTTTTGTGATGACCCTCTCTGACACATGAGCTGCAAAGCAGGGCAGACCACTGATTGAGCTTTTCCATATCTTCTTTCTCCATTCAGGGGACAGACAGGAGAATGACAAAGAGAACTTAAACTTGGAGAACTACAGGGACCAGGACCCTCAAGCCTCAGGAGAGCCTCCTCAGACTTCCTTGAGTGGCCTCTTCAGCAAGGATGAGCCAAGATGCTTTGGAGAAGGAGAGAATCTCCCCGAGGCCCAGGAGAACCTTCATGGTGAGGGGACAGGGGCGCAGCTCTCTCCCCGAGAGAGGAATTCCGGGACACAGCTGGGTCAGCATCTGCCACCTCTTCCCGGAGAGCCGTCCACGCCATGGCTGGAGGGGAAGAGAGAGGCCTCCCCGCGACGGCAGCCGAGAGCCCCCATGGCCCAGAGACTCCCTACCTGCAGGGAGTGTGGGAAAGCCTTCTACCGGAATTCCCAGCTGGATTTTCACCAAAGAACTCACACTGGAGAGACGTACTTTCAGTGCCCCACCTGCAAAAAAGCCTTTCTGCGGAGTTCAAACTTCGTGAAGCATCAGCGAATCCACACGGGCGAGAAGCCCTGCAAGTGTGATACGTGTGGGAAGGGCTTTAGCGACTTCTCGGGGCTGCGCCACCACGAGAAAATCCACACGGGGGAGAAGCCCTATAAGTGCCCCATCTGTGAGAAGAGTTTTATTCAGAGATCCAACTTTAATAGGCATCAGAGGGTTCACACAGGAGAGAAACCCTATAAGTGCTCCCGCTGTGGGAAAAGTTTCAGCTGGAGCTCAAGCCTTGCCAAACATCAAAGATCCCATTTGGGAAAGAAGCCCTTTCAATAGCCAAGCTGTCTGAGCCCATGTCTGTCTCCTGGTCCATTTAAAAATACTTGGCGGGCTTCCCTGGTTGCACAGTGGTTAACAATCCGCCTGCCAATGCAGAGGACACGGGTTCAAGCCCTGGTCCGGGAAGAGTCCACATGCCGTGGAGCAACTAAGCCCGTGCGCCACAACTACTGAGCCTGCATTCTAGAGCCCACGTGCCACAACTACTGAAGCCCGTGCACCTAAGCCCATGCTCAATCCGCCTGCCAATGCAGAGGACACGGGTTCAAGCCCTGGTCCGGGAAGAGTCCACATGCCGTGGAGCAACTAAGCCCGTGCGCCACAACTACTGAGCCTGCATTCTAGAGCCCACGTGCCACAACTACTGAAGCCCGTGCACCTAGAGCCCATGCTCTGCAACAAGAGAAGCCACCGCAGTGAGAAGCCCGCGCACCGCAACACAGAGTAGCCCCCGCTCGCCGCAACTAGAGAAAGCATGCGCGCAGCAACAAAGACCCAGCGCGGCCAAAAATAAATAAATTTATTAAAAAAAATAAAAAACAAACTTGGCTCCATCTGGAAAAATTGCATCTCTTAGAAAATATCCCTGTTCTCTCATTTTTTCATGGATTGGAGAGGAGAGACTGGGACATGGTTTTAGACGCGGAGGATATCTCGGCCTCCGGATCGGATTTCACGCAGGTTGACTTTCTTGCTTCTGCATCAGGAGAAAGAAAAGTCTTCACCTTTCAGCTCATCTCTTCTCTTGGACCCCTTGGGGAAAATGTGTCACTTGGAGGTCCCGTTTTAGGAGTGGTCTCTGGGAAGGGTCTAACTGGATTAGCTGCAGCTGCTGCTGGGAAGAACCTCATATCCGCCCTTTAGAACTGTGGTCCTAGAGAAGGTCTTATGTCACAGAGCGGGGAGCGTAGAGGCCAGTGAGCTCAGTGTGGTCTTTGTCATAAAGGTGCAAAGCTAACTCCAAGCTTCCCTTGTTTTCAATAAACTTGGTCGTCACTCCCTGTCTTGTCTGTGTCTGCAGCGTCCACTGTGTGCTGACTGGAACTCACAGACCCTAAGTGGTGGTTGAGCTCCTAGATCAGCTCATACAAACCCACCAAGTTTACCAGCCAGCAGAACAGTGATGGGAACTTGCTGGCCTAGTGCCCCGGTGAGAGCTTGGCCAGTGCAGGGCACTCTGGTGTCCTCTTTCCATGCCCACCTCCCACTTGCTCTGGGGCCTCAAGTTGCCCCTCTTTCTCCTGGCATCCCCCTTAGGTCATCCATCATTTTTGCCAAAGTGTCCTGGCCTCTAAAATTATCTTCCTTCTCTCATTTTGTCTGTACGTGTTAGGAAGAAATCAATAGTATTGATCCAATTTATAGTGTATCTAGAGGTTTATTAACCCATATATCTAACCTGACCACTTGTCTCCAAAACTGACGTGACCCAGAGTGTCCTGCTCTCATACCGCGACACCACTTTCCTTCCATCTTGGTCGTCCTCTGCCTGCTCTCACTGTACTGTTCCCAGTGAGGATCAGGAAGCGTGATGTTGAGGAGGAGGACAGAGCTATCTCCATAGGAACAGATGAACTATAGGCAAGAAACTGCAAGTTGTTGGCAGACAATGGGAAGTACATTGCTGGCTGATGTGAGGAGAGACAGCACTTAGGTTGGAATCCCTGGATTCCAGAGGAATTTGTTAACTCTCTTATAGCATGAAGATGAGGAATAAGGCCCTTCTTTTGGGGACGCGGGAACCACAACGCAGAAAGCAGGAAAATCATGGTGGAATTGGCATGAGATTCTGTGTTGTCATAGCAGAGGTTTGTAAGAGGGTGGGTTTTTATGTTTTGAAATCAGGAGTTCTCAAAGTGCAGTCTCCAGACTTGGAGCATTGGCAGTTTCTTAGACTTACTGAATCAAACTCTGAAGGGTGGGGGCCAGCAATCTTTGTTTTAACAAGTCCTCCAGGGGATTCTGATGCCTGCTCAAAACGAAGAACCACTGTACTAAATAGTAATTGATCCAAAAATAAGTCTCTCCAAGGATATGTGGGAATAATGATCCTAGAAGGAGTGGTGAACCCACACCCCCAGACGACTTAACAAACAAGCCTCCCCATAGAGCTCTTTACAGCTCATTAAAACTGTAGACCTCTTTGGGCATCCAGCTTTTAGGTTCAAGAGCTTTAGGTGAAAGATTTCTCCTTGGGCCCCTCTTAAATGATCTGAAGGATGACAGAAAGACAAGGAAACAATCCACCTTGTTTGCAGTTTTGTCCTCAGCAAGTAGTAGATGTTAAACACTTGTTAAATGGATGTGTGGGTTAATGAAGGATAAATATTGCATATATACTTCCCTTATCCTCTAGAGCAGTGATCAGCAAAATTTAGCCCACTGCCTGTTTTTGTAAAGTTTTATTAGAACGTGGCCACACCCATTCATTTAGGTATCATCTATGGCTGCTTCAGGGTTACAGTGGTAGAGGTGAGCAGTTGCAACAGAAGCAGTATGCCCTGCGAAGCCTAAAATATTTACTATCTGATCCCTAACAGAAAAAGTTTGGTGGCCCCCTGATCCAGAGTAACGTTCCTCAAACCATAAAGTGCATACAAATCGCCTGGGGAGCTTGTTAAATGCAGACTCTAATTCACGGGCAATGCCGGTGCCGCTGGGCCCCGGACTAGCTGGGAACTAGGGCGCTGCGTGTAGGGCTGTGTAACGACGTCAGGGCTCAAGTGCCTGTGGCTCATTTCTCTTGGGCTCTTCATGATAACTTATGACTCTGCAACGCTCAAAGCCTGGACCAGACACAGTTGAAGAATAAATCGCTTTATTAGGAAAGGGTCAGTGTTACGAGACCCTTCTCCCCTAGTTCCCAGGTCCACACTCCTCTAGCTCTGCCTCACTTTAGGTCTTTCTCTCCGAGTTCCCCAAAGGAATTCTTCAGAACTGTGAGTGCTTTCGGTTTCTCATCTTTCTCTAGGGCTGTGGTCCGCCCTCTCCACTGGTCCCTCTGGGCAGCCTCCAGCCCAGCTCTGTCTCCTCGGTGGGTCTGCAAGGAGCTACACCTGGAGAAGCAAGGCTACTCCGGCCAGAACCCACTTGGAAGGCTTCTCCTTCATCTTCAGGTGTAAAGTCCACACGTAGGTGGGTCCTCGCTGACAAGTCTTGTACACAGGACAGGGATAGGTACTGCGGCAATCCTGCTTATCTGCGGGGATGGCCTTGAGGAGCAACACAGGCATGGGGGACACCAGCTCCTTCAGCTTCCCCTCGGTGATGGCCCCAGCCTGAGGACAAGGACACGAGAACATCTCAGGTCAGGCCCCAAGCTCAGCCAGCCAGGCTTGCTCCTGTTGGGAGATCTGGGAGAGAGACTGGGAAGACCTGGTTGCCCTGGGCCCACCCCCTTGCTAAGTTCTCTCGACAGCCCACGATGGGGTGCCGTGGAGGGGTGGACATCATATTCCCACTGTTTTTCAGCCTGAATATCTTCTCGAAGCAGAGTTCCAAAAGCTGTTGCATATCATATGCACATTAATCTCTTTGGGGCTTGAATTTCTCTTAGTTTTATTTTGTCATTTCGTATGCATACCGAATGCAGCTATTTGCCAGATGTCATGCTAGGTGCTAGGGACTTAAAGCTGAGCAAGACACAGTCCCTGCCGGCAAACGCTTTAGACGTTAAGACTTTGGTTATGTCCTGTTCCAGCTTCTTATGTGCTGTCCTCCACCCTCTAGAGCATTTTCTCTTTTTGAGCAGAGGGAGCTGTGTTCTATCTTCACTCAGGTAACAGGGACCTGGCTGTTCTGTAGCTTTCCAGCTGGGTCCTCTCTCTGGTTCTGAGATGTCTCCATAGTGCTGTCTGGGGAAGTTTTTCCTAGTAGTCCTGAGAAATATTCTGAGGAACAAAAAGGTGCCTTGGTGAAATAAGCTTGGGAAGTGGTGCTTACCATACCCTGGACCTGAAGCTTTACGGTGCACACTAGCACACTGAAGACAAGAAGTCCTGGCAGTAAAGAAAACAGTTTGACTTTATTTATCCCAGTCTTTCCCAAACTTATTTGACCACAGGACCCTTTTCTTGCAACCTATTCATTTCCCGTGGCACTAGGGTTTTCTGAACATACTTTGGGAAATGATGATCCAGAGTGACTCATGGATTCCTTGCCTGTGCCTAGGTGATTCTGAGCCCCTTATGCTGTGGACAGAATTTGTTTTAATTCCCATGAAATGTATTTAATGGGAAGGATGTGCCTCTTCAGTTCTGGTAGAGGCTGACATGAGGCATAGTAACTAATAGAACTAAGGTAAACAGTGAGGACCCCTTGTCCCCCACAACTGAATGTTTATGGTAGGGAGTGGCAGCAGGGGTAGGACCTTTCTTTTTCCATATACCATAAAACCAGCTCTTTTAAAATGTACAATTCACTGGTTTTTAGTATATTTATAAACTTGTACAGTCATCACCACTATCTAAATTCCAGAATATTTTTATCACCCCAGAAAGAAACTCTATAACCATTAGCTGTCACCATTAGTAGTGGGGTGTTAATGTCGTCAGTTATTATGGTTGAGTTGTCTGTTTCTCCCTTCAATTCTGACAGTTTTCATCTCCTTTATTTTGGGGTCTCTTTTGTTAGATGCACATGTATTTGTCATTGTTATATCTTCTTGATGGGTGGGCCTTTTATCATTGTAAAATGCCTTTTTTGGTCTCTACAATTCCTCTCTCTTCTGTCTTTTCTCTAATAACAATTTTTAAGTCTATTTTGTCTACTATTAGTATAGTCCCCCAACTCTCTTTGGTTACTGTTTTCATGGCATGTCTTTTCCATCTGTTTACTTTCAACCTATTTGTGTCTTTAAATCTAAAGTGTGTCTCTTATACACAGCATGTAGTTGGATCAGGTTTTTAAAAATTTAATCCATTCTGCCAATCTCTGCCTTTTAATTGTAGTGTTTAATCCATTTGCATTTAATGCTTTGCTCTTTTTTCAGTTATTTTTCTTCAGCAAACACTGCTTGGATTGCCAAAAGCCTTTGGTTAATTTCCGGAGTTCTGACAAGTTTGATTCTGGTATATATATATATATATATATATATATGTATAAAATTATTATATATGATTTTGATATATACCTTATACTATTATCTTATATATATGATATATACTATATCTTATTATATATATCTTTATATACGTGTGTGTGTGTGTGTGTGTGTATATATATATATATATATATATATATATATGTTTTATGGAGGAGAGGAATTTTGGACATCCTTACCCTTCCCCCCCCTTTTTTTTTAATAGTAATCTTTTATTTATTTATATATTTATTTTTGACTGTGTTGGGTCTCCGTTTCTGTGCGAGGGCTTTCTCTAGTTGCGGTGAGCGGGGGCCACTCTTCATCGCGGTGCGCGGGCCTCTCCCTGTCGTGGCCTCTCTTGTTGCGGAGCACACGCTCCAGACGCGCAGGCTCAGTAGTTGTGGCTGACGGGCCTGGTTGCTCCGTGGCATGTGGGATCTTCCCAGACCAGGGCTCGAACCCGTGTCCCCTGCACTGGCAGGCAGATTCTCAACCACTGCGCCACCAGGGAAGCCCACCCGTCCCTTTTTGCTGAATGCTTTCTGGGATATAGACTCTGAGAACAAGAGTTCTTGGTGGGCGGGTGTTATTTTTTTGTTTGTTTTTATTATTGGGAAACAAGGTAATGAACAAATGGGAGGCAGTTGTTGGGAATAAATATCCTTTTGTCCCCCCAGTGCCAGTGCTCCTCCTTCTGAGCTTCCCCCCTACTTATCTTTTCTGCACTTCTCTCATTTTGGCGTCTTTAGTATCCTAGCTCTGGCTACCCTACACCTAACACAGTCCACATGTGATCTCGACTGACAGACTTGTGCAAATGTTCAGGTGGAGAGAGAGAAGTAGGCTTCCTTCTCAACGTTCAGGCTGCTTGAATACTGCCCCACTTTACCGTCCTTTCTGTTGGCTCTTGACTGGTTTCCTAGGGCTGCCGTAACAAAATTATCACAAAGACAGTGGCTCAAAACAACAGAAATGTATTCTTTCACAGTCCTGCAGGCCAGAAGTCTTAAAGTGTAGGTAGGGTTGGCTCCTTCTGGAGGCTCTGAGGCAGAACCTGTCCCATGCCTTTCCCCTAGTGTCTGGTGGTTGCTGCAGCCCTTGGCCTCCCTCGGCCTGTAGATGCACCCCTCCAGTCTCTGCCTCCGTCTTCACAGAGCGTTCTCCTCTTACAAAGACACCGATCATTGGATTTAGCGCCTACTCTATTCTAGCGTGACCTCATCTTCACTAATTACATTTGTAAAGACCCCTTTCCAAATAGGTCCCATTTGGAGGTTCTGGGTGGACATGAATTTTGAGGGGACACTCTTCAACTTAGTACAGCTCTCTATGCATATTGATGTGGACTTGTAGGATCTTCTAGACCGTCTAATAGTTTTCCCACGTTCCTGTGTATTGACTGCTAGGAATAGTTCAGTGCAAATATTGCCAAATGGGATATTTGACTAAGTAGTCCTTCCAGATCATGTGTATAACAAATGTAAACTTGTCCTAGAGTTAACCATCCTTGTTCATGTCATTTATCCCAGCCACCTGTGCTTGTTTGCTAGTTTCCTATCAGAGACAAAACATCTTTTCTGATCTTATGCTGACTCAAATTTGTATTAGCCTGCAGTGAGGAATCCATTCAAAGTGTCACTTTAAATGATATCACTGGCACCCCTTTGCTAACATGTAGCAGTGTAAAAAGTAGGAGGGATTCCTGCCCTCCAAGAGCTCATGAATGAGGAAAGTGGACCAGGGAGGTGAAATTATACCCCCAGGTCACACAACAAGTTTTGAGCACTCCCTATGTATCAGGCACTGTTCTAAGGGTCTTGCATATTAATTCGTTTAATCATCACAGCAACTCTGTTTTCCCATTTAACAGTTGAGTAGGGACTCCCCTGGTGGTCCAGTGGTTAAGACTCTTCACTCCCAATGCAGGGGGCCTGGGTTCGATCCCTGGTCAGGGAACTAGATCCCACATGCTGCAACTAAGAGCCCGCATGCCGCAACTAAAGATCCTGCATGCCACAACAAAGATCCCACATGCAGCAACAAAGATCCCACGTGCCAGAGCTAAGACCTGGCATAGCCAAATAAATAAATTAAACGAATAAATATTTTTTAAAAAACAGTTGAGTAAACTGAGATTTTTTCACAGAATTAGTAAGCGGTAGTGCTGGGATTCAGATCCAGCCAGTCTGTTGCTTTTAACCTCTCTACTCACTCTGCACTCTTTATGTCATCCTTGGCTACATAGAAAGGATTTGACAGCCTCAAGGGATGCTCAAAGGGCATCCCTGGGCTTCCCTGGTGGCACAGTGGTTGAGAGTCCGCCTGCCGATGCAGGGGACACGGGTTCGTGCCCCGGTCCGGGAAGATCCCACGTGCCGCGGAGCGGCTGGGCCCGTGAGCCATGGCCGCTGAGCCTGCGCGTCCGGAGCCTGCGCTCCGCAGCGGGAGAGGCCACAACAGTGAGAGGCCCGCGTACCGCAAAAAAAAAAAAAAAAAAGGCATCCCTTTTAGCAATTGTACTTTACAGGGGGCAATGTGTATGTAATCAGCCCACAGGGGATGCCCTTTGGCTCATCCCAGGATTTACCTGTGCATCCCAGCGAGCGCCTTCCATGAAGAGGCCATGGATGTAGGCCCCTTCCCGAGGGGGGCTCCTGAATTCCTCTCTGTTCTTCTTTGTCACGTCACATTGCAAGGCCATCTGGTCCGGGGGCCACTCATTCTTGCGGGCTGTGGACTGCATGATGGCCGTCAGGAAGGACTGGGGGTTGAAGAAGCCTGTTAACCACACAGTGGGGGGCATCGTAAAGTCGCCTGCCCAGGCCTCCAACTCCTTGATTCGGTTGAGCAGGTCCAAACACCAGGCTGCCAGGCCTGCAATGGAAGGGTAGGCGCGCCTGGCCCAGGGCTCCGGCACTGTGTCTAGGTACATAGCGTCCTGTAAGTTCTCCATGTCACTGGTCATGGTCAGCTCCCCCTGAAGACAAAGAATGAGAGGGG